ACTTGATTCTGAGAATAACTGGTATAAAGTAGTGGAATTATTCCAAAAAGATGAAGATAAACTGAAGAGGAAGCATAATGAAAAAGAATGTGAAAAATATGAAGAAAAATAGACATATTAATGTATAATTAAAATTTTAATTGCAGTAAATAAAGTATGTTAAATATCAACCTATAAATATGTAAAATTACATAGCTTAATTTTACTCAAGGGATTGGAGAATATTTTCAGACTTTAGTTCCTAAATAGCAAATATGTTTGGGGTTTTTTTAATGTCAGGTTTAATCCTGAATGATACTACTCAGGAATCTGTGGCAATACAGCAAGATACATTCAGATGTCTATGATATCCCAATGTCTAAATGTGGTGTATAGACAAACACGTGCTATTTTTTACATCTTGTGGACAGAATTCAATACTTTTGCTTTCAACACTAAACAGCAAAATAAATAAACCAGCTGTATACAGGGTTACATGTGGATGAAGAGAGTTACAATTCCATTTATTTTTGTATTTTAAGGATATAAAGGGATAAAAATCAAAGGAAATCTCTCAACAATGGTATTATCAGATGATGAAACTTTTTTGAAGGAGATTACAAGGTATTTATAAAGGTCAACACCAAGTAGAATTTCAGGTCTTAACATTAATCAACTCATAAAACTTTTTTGGAGGTACAAAAATATATGATATCTACCAGCTATTCCCTCTTGCAGAGTCCATCGTTTACTCACAGTACTGTATGATTGCCACTTTGAATTAAACACCTTTTCACACCATTTGCTGTGCAGATGGCAAAGTGCTCTGAGTATGACAGAGCTGAAACACCAGGAGTGCCGAGCAGTGCACTGGAAATACATCACAATAAGCAGATACCTATTATCTACTCTTGACTTGGCTGTAATCTCCTCCTCCAAATCCTTGTCTATCTCCTCTTCCCTTTCACTTTTTTCTCAAAATACACTACTCTGCACTTCTTTTAGAAAGCTTTGGAGAGGAGATCTCTGTCAAAGTCGAGACCACCCTCTGTAAAGTTCAACAGTTTGACACTTTGCACCTCTCACTGCCTGGCATCCAGCAGTGGGTATCATCTCTTCTGTGCTCTTAGCTGTGAACATGTTTGTCAGTGGTGTGAGAGAAAGAGCTTCCTAAAGCAGCTGTAGAGCAAGTCCTGTGGTGCTTCCCATGCCCCTGGGCCATCCAGATTCTGCCAGCTGCTGCTCTGGAATGATGGGTACAAAAGCAGGGACATCGCATTGCCTCTCCTCCATGTATCCTCCTGATTCTGTGGTTTTCACATCTCATTTACAGCTTCACTCATCCCTTTCTCAGACTTCATATCTTGCTCTCAGCTTAAACCCTTGTACCAGATTTTCAAATGGTCATTTCCTAGCCAGATACCAAGAATTGTTGTCTATCACCCTGCTCATTCTGCCCATCAAACATCCTTGACAGTTAATAATATTTTTCTCCATGAGATATTCTCTGTATTACATTAACTTCTGAGCCTATGCTCTTTCCTGTGCCTACCCCTAGGTTTTTAGTAACTCTTTTCTTGGTGAGTCTTTTAAAGGACTTTTTCTTCTTCAAATTCCCATGTTTCCTGGAGTTCAGTCACAACTCTTCATTCTCCATACTTCTTAAGTTAACTTCAATCATCAATGCATATTTAACTCTGAACATTTTGCAGGCAATGAACTGCTTTAATTCCATGCTCCTAAAGACTATCTTAAATTCTCATCTTGTCTCTTTAACATAAACAACTAACACTTCAGCCTTCCTTCTTTCTCCCAATCCACTTTCTATCCCTCACCTCACTTCATGCTTCAACGCTTCCTTTGACATAATCAGATTTGGACATATTTCATCATACACAAATCAAGGCTGTGTTAGATATGTACAGGCTTTCTGTATACTGTTTTCAGCTTTAGGTTTTGATAAAATGGCACCTTGCCATCTCCTTGCAACACCTTTCACAGGTATAAGAACAGAATAATTTTCAACTGTCCTCCTTCAGAATGCCACTTATAGAATTTAATCCCAGCTTCCCATTTGCCCATTTCTCTACTTGTTGTGTTTTCATTATGTCAAACATACTACTTGTTTTCATTCCCAGGGCTCTCCAAGTATTGATTTATTTAAAAGTAAAATTTCTATTTTCTTTCTACAGAATAATTTTCTATTACATCTTCTTTCTATTGAAATAGTCCATAATCATCTGGCCTTATCATACTTTAAATCCACCTTAAAGATCCTTCTTTTTAAAGACAGTTCTAATGAACAAGAAGCTTATGAGAAAGATGGGGAGAGACTTTTTAGTAGGGCCAAATGATAAAGGTTTTAAACTGAAGGAGGGTGGCTCTGTTTAGAGATAAGGAAGACACTTTTACAATGAAGGTTGGGGAACAGCTGAGGGTAGTGTTGAAACAGGCTTCCTAGAAAGGTGGTAGATGCTGCATCCCTGCAAACATTTAAGATCAGGCTGGACAGGGCTCTCAGCAACTTGATCTAATCAATGATGTCCCTGCACAGTAGAGGAGGGTTTGGACTTAGAAGACCTTTAAAGGTCCCTTCCTACCCAAACTACTTTATGATTCTATAACATGAAAATGTTATACTTCTGCTGTACCAAGATCTTTCATGCTCTTGTGCTCTTCAGATTGACTGTCACACACTGTTACTTCTTGTTATAGTCTATAAGCTCTTTGAAGATTGGGTGACCTTTCCATTTTGTTTGGGGTCAGTATGTTCCCGGTTCATTTCAATATTCTTTCCCCTTCATGAATTGCCTCCCAAAATTGCTGTTTTTACTGGGCCATTGTTATTGTTCCAGAAAAAAATCCATAAAATATTTATCACTTTCTCAATTTACTAATTAACAAAATTTTTAGAATAAAATAACATAATTTAGTATACATTTTGGCAGGCCTCAGATTTATTACATGGGTGAGTTATTATCACGCTATCACAAAGAACAGGAAGCCAAAATTTAAATGCATTATGGACATGTTTATGTCTGGATTTCAGACCAGAACTGGAAGATGATCTCAGATTACTGGGGAGTTCTCAGAGACAATTCATACAAGTGACTGTTTAGGCGCACTTTATGCAACAGTGGAATACTCTGCTGTGTCCTGCAGAGGAGAATGAGCTCAAACAACATGCTAAAGGAAGGGGAAGACTGAATAAAAAGCTAAAAATACCCTGCTACTTTTTTTTGCTAGGTGAGAAAAAAAAAGAGACCAATTAATGCTGAAGAAAAAAAAATTCTATTTACAGATTTCAGAAAGGAAATAGATGTGAATCAAACTACATCTACAGACAGAAGCAATAACTCAAACTTGTTATTGGGGAATAACTGTACAAACTTATAAAACTGAAAAAAAATCTTTCTATCACATCTAAAAAAATGACACAAAAAACACCTTCAGAAACACTCTTGCTTGTAGGGACTTATAATTAATAATGCATTCTACTTTTCCAAGAAACCTTTTTGACAAAAATGGTATGTGATATGAATATATAGTATCACCCTCTCCTCACTCAGCATAAATATATATTCTAAGAAAATTAATCATTATAAAGTCATCTAAAATGGGGAAGGGGGTGGGGTGTTTTTTGTCATTCGGAACTAAGAGGAAATTATTTTCTAAAAGTTGTAGTAAAAAGAAAAGAAATTTAGAAGTGCAACCACAGTAATTAACAGTGACTAAATTTAAAGCTGTTGCAACAATAAGTTAGTGAAGTACTTGGAAGGTTATTTTTTTCAGACTTCTAGCTTACTAAAACAGGTTTCCTCATCCATTTAATGACATCCATGGATCCCTGTAAGGAAGACAGAACTGCATAATAGTATATCTACCTACAAGATTCTTCTCTAAGCAGTCTGAGCAAACTCAACTTTTCTTAAGCTTAATGAAAGAGCCTAAACTTCCTATTCTGGAATACTGGCTCCTGCTGCCTCATGTTGTGTGTAAAGATGTGTCAGAATTGAATTTGCTGTTTATCTGTTTTAAAGGCACTAAAAGTCAGGAAATGTAATATTTTGTTTATTTCAAGTGAGCTATTCAGCTTTGCTCAAGCATAGAAATAATCTGAAATACTGTGCACCATTATTGATATCCTAAGAGGAAGGAAACCCTCTTTGTTCAAGAGCCCACTCCTGCCAGTCCACACTATGCAAGACTGAAGACTGATCCCTATTGCATACATTTTCATAGGTAATTTAAGGCATAATCTACTAGCCAGTTACACCTGAGGCCCAAGAACAATCATCTTTTTAGTGAAACAAAGAAAATCTAATTGGAGAGCAGATTAGTCAAGAGCAGCAGCAGGGTGTAGCACCCTCCTGACCTGGCTCCTCATGCCTTGGGAAACACCAGCTCTCTTTCTCTGGTGTCAAACAGGAAAGCCTCCCCATAAGTCTCTGAGTCCATAACTGGAATAGCAGAGGTTAAATAATCTATGCAGTGTGAGTAAGGAAAACACACACCAGTCTTAAACTCCTTATTTTAGAATGTTAGCAGTTATCTGAAAAATACTGCTAGTTTTTATGTGAGATGTGCTATTTTTTCCTGCTGAAATAAATCCATTTTGATGTCAACAAAGAGAAATAGCATGATTTATCTGTACTGAGATGCCTACTATAGCATTACATTAATTATTTTCTGGAAGCATTTATTTCTCTTTAATGACTATAGAGAAAGAGCCGAGGGTGATTCCAATGTAGAACTCCGGGCAATAAATATACTTGGATCAGTGAAACCCAGATCGGCATGGCAGTCAACTCCAGGTGTTTAACTACAGCTCACCTGGGACAAGCCCCTTAGTCAGATTAGCCATAACTCAAACTGGCTTAGCAGGGTTTTACTTGTGTTCATTCAGCCTGTGGAAGTACCAGTAAGAAAACCACCAAAAATAAATGCTTCTTGGGAAGCCCAGAACTCTTGAGTTGTATCAAGATCTGTGCATTGCAACTGGACACAACCAAATCTCTTACCTGGACTCTGCATCAAACAGGAATTGCTTTTCTTTTTGTCATGCCCAGCTCTGGAGATGCTGTCCAGCATTTACGGCCAGATATGCAGGAAACCTTATCCTTTCCTCTCATTGGGATGAGCCATTTCAAAGGATGCAGGTATCATAGATCTTCCTATGTAGAACCTAGGTATCTAGCTGGGGAGTAGAAGGGTCTTGCTGTTAATTTAATAATGAATTTTATCATGAATGGTGGTAAGTTTATGAGTCAATGGCTCACTGTTTAACAACATGAACTCAAGATCCCCATCTTTCAGTACCTTGTACTACTGAGATGAAACAGATGGCAAAGCTAATGGATTTGAAATTAAACCCCTCAGCCCAGGCTTACACCTAACTGCATCACCTTTTACTGTCTTATGACTGGCTGCAGAGAAGGAAAGTCTTAAGATTTTTTATTTGTAGAATACCTGAATACAAGGAATGGGAAGGAGTGCTACTGCATTGCTAAGGCTACAGGAGAGGAGACATGCTTCTGAGAAGATGAACAACATCACTGATGAGTTTTCATCTTTTCTTGAAGCATGAGCTTTTTTTTTCTCTAAGCATGACTATGCTGAGGTACAAATTTATGTTTCTAACTCAGCTAAGTCACACTGTAAAAAGACTTTCACCCATTCCTACAGTTTCAGCCATATAATTTTAAAATGATTGATTTTTTCATCAACACTAAACTTGATTGCAGGCTGCTTTAAAATGAAATAGATTTCTTCTAAAAGGGAATTAAGTTATATAAAATAAAAATAATCTGTTTCCTTCCAACAATTTAATTACTTATTTAATGTGTTTTACTCCAAAAAAAAACCTGGTGTATGCATTATATTTTCAACACCCAGTAGTCTGAACAGGCAAAGTTTAGTTAATAATTTTCATCATAAAAACTTAAATGTTATATGCAAAGGATCCTTATCTTTCTAATTCTTAAAAGTGTATATAGATGAAAATTTTTTTGTGCCATAGGGATAAATTATATAAATTTTGACTGTGATAATTCTTACCTTGCACTGGGACTAGACTTTTCTTTAGAGAAACAGAACTCAGCATTGAAGTTCAATGTTTGCAAAGTTTTGGAATATTTTGCCTGTAATACAGTCAAAACTCCAACATTTTTGGTACCACATAATCAAATAGCATAACATAGTCCTCAATTTATAACAGGTTTGCAATTGTGACAGAACAAGAGATTTTTTTTGTAGGTGTGGTTTAATGTAGGGTAGTGTTGCCAGACAGAAATATCACTGCATCTGGTAACTATAAAAATGTGTGTGATCTTCCTTGAAAATTTACTTTACTGAAATTAATGCAAATCCGTATTTTGCTTTAGTTTGGTTGTTTTTCTTAATAGCTTATTGTTTTTTTTTCTTCCTTGATTACAAGGAATTTATATTAAAATTTTACAGTAAGTTTAAAGTACTAGAAATACCTGGATTTTATTATATCCATCACTCTTTAAAATAAGAAATTAGAGTTCCTCCTTTACCCTCTCCTTCCAACAAAATAAAGAAGAATTGTGAATAAAAGTAACCAAACCAGAAAACTTCAGCATATTTTGGTTTGGGTAGCTAATTCATTCTTACATCATTAATCATTAATCATTGTAATTCTGTCATTTTTTTAATAACATGAGTAGCCTCCGAAATCAAACATTCTTCCCCATAAAAATATACAAGGTGTTTTTGTCTCATATGTCTTTATTTTACCAAATTTAGTGCTTTAAAGTTACATTTCTTGCCTTAGTTATTGAGATTCCTACACTAGTCAAGACTCAAGAGTATTATCTCCAGGCAAAAAGAAGCTTTGAAGACTAAAACTACTAATTCTGGAATGACTAAAGTTAAGGGGTAAGAATACCATTCTGGAGTCATAATTTTTTCAAAATCATAGTTTTAGCATGACTTGGAGCTCAGTGTTTTCCTAGTGCAACATCTAAGTACACTCTGGATGCTACACAAGAAGGAGTATGCAGTATGGTGGATTTAATTGAGACATATTATGTCTTAGTTTCTAGTGAATATACAAAGGAAAATATCCAAAATGAGTAAAACATCTTTCCATATTAATGTCTTCCACTCCTACTCTGCTTTTGAGTGCTTTTGTTTTTCATCTAACTTCTGAATGAAACATGAATGATACTTCACCAAAAAAAGAAAAAAAGAAAAAAAGAAAAATCTATTCTGATGAGAAGTTAAATTGCACTTTATGTTGTAAACACTGATGTTTGAAAATATGTCTGAAAATATGAATTTATTTTAATTTTTGTTTTGTTTTGTTTTTATCCTCTGGTATGATGCGTAACAGAAAAAGAGGATTTTAACCTTTCCAGAGTAGTGGTAGCTCAGACTTTCTAACTGTGTTAAAACTCTTAGGAGGACCTGTTTGGAATTGCAGTGAGAGAGTGCCTATGGGTTTTCTCTGCCTCCGGATGAAACAGTGAAGCCATGAGGAAACTTCTGATAGCATTTACCTTTACTGGGTTACTATACTGTTCCAGGGTTATTTTTGGCTTGCCCATATTCATTCCCACTGCCATAAAATCATACCCACTTCCACCTGATGTTGTTCATCCTGAGTTTGTACCTAATTGTGGAATGAGCTGTTGGTTATATTACCACTTTTTATAATTTATCTTCCTCACAATTTGTTTATCCATCAGATGCTGCAGAAAGGAAAGACAGAGGTTTTTTCTTCATGGGCTTACTGTTCTCACTTCAGTCTTCCGTGTGTAAAGGAAAAAAATAACTTCCCTGGGGAGGCAACTGTTCTCTCAAGCATTGGGACAGCTCTGCTGGCTCTCAACAGTGGAGCAGCAATATAGCCATGAAACCTGACCAAATGGAATATTTTTAACTTGGAAGTGAAATCAGTGGCACAAGCCACAGCAGCCTGAACTGATTGCCACCTTGGGGAAAAGTAAACCCCAAGAACACAAAAAAATAATCCCTTGCAAATGCAGTGATGGTTTTACACGAGTGTTAAGTAGCAGTCTTATTGGTTGTGATGGCCAGGATGTGTCCTCCCCCCTCTACCACAGAGAGTTGGTGCAGATATGGAAGAGATAACCCAGGGTGAAAGGCCCAGAAAGGGGTTATCTCTAATGCCAAAAAGGCTCAGGCCCCAGCTAAGAATCAACATTGAAGTCTGGAGAACAGATGTAGGAACAGATAAAAGAAATATCCTTGACTGAGAGACACTGTTTACAAACTAGAAAAGATACACAAGTTATCAAAGAGGCAGAAGGCTCTTATGCCCTAACAAATATTTAAGACTTTTCTCTGGAGTTTGGACACAGATTCCACAGTTACTTTCCTGGGAACTGAGGGAAAGGATCTCGATCTGTGCCTCATCAATAACTGGATGGTAAGGCACATTGAATCCTAAGTTATATTATTTCTTCACTAGCTGTAAAATTAATGGTACCTTTAACCTTGAGCTGAATGTACCTACTAGTTGTCTCATTTTTTGTCCTTATTCTTGTGTAGCATATAGTTTGTTTTAAGTCTTATGTCTGTTAGTTTTGTGTCTATTAAATAAATAATTCTTTCTGTAATAGACCAAATCAGGCATTATTCATCACAACTTGTGAATGAGATTGGGTTTTGGGGTGCTGGCAACCTCAATAAAGGTACTGCCTGCTGCTGGAGACCTGGGCAAAAGGCAGGGACTTATCCAAACTTCCACATCTATTCATAACTGCTGTGATTGTTCACAACAAGTGAACAATCACTTGACTTAAGAGGAAAGTGACCGAAGTTTACGCTTTACCAGCATGTAAAGAACTGCTATATTGAAAACAAAAATAGGCATCATAGTATTAAAAATTCAGGAAAGTATTCTGGAGTTTGTTTTTAGTTTTCTTGATTATCCAATAACATTAAAACATGTACCTATATTTGCTATTTACAGTGGTGTCCATGTCCTGCTCTGGAGAGGACCAGGTAGGTTCTGATTCCTGTGGCAGAATTAGACACAAACGAGATCAACGCTACATCCACAAACAGTTTATTAATACAGAAATTGGCCCTAGCAGAAGTGATAGGAAAAGTAGTGATAAAGGAAGGAAAAGAAGCAATATTTTGGAGAGTTGAGAGAGAGAGAGTGAGTTACTTCCATGGATCCAACAGTGTCCTGTCGGTCCAATTCATTCAGTCAGTGGGTGGCTGGTGCACAAGCAGGGGCAGGAGGCTGACAGGTGATGCAGTTTATAATTCCTTATATACAATTTAGCCCCCCCCACAGCCTGGTCGTCCAAAGAAATTATTGATTCTCAAGGGAGGTTGCCCAAAGAAATCCTCCTGGCAGCAGAGCCTCCCTCTGCACTCAAGGGGGTTGTCCAAAGAAATCTTCCTTTGAGCAGAGCCACCCAGCAACAGTGCCTCTCTCTGTCCTCCTTCCCATGACCACCATGGGTCCCAAAACATTCCTTTTCATGTCTGCTGCCAGTACTTTTCCAAATATAGAAGTGGCAACTAAAGCACTTAATGTCAGTTCTTGAAGTAAAACAGATTTCTCAGCAGCAGCTCAAAATGAAGTTCAAACAACATTGAGACATTTTCATCTTAGCATTCATCAGTCCCTCACAAGTGGCCATAGGAATAAATGTTTATGCTGCCATACATCTTTTATGAAGTCTATGGTTTTTCTTATATTTTGGGGTTTTCTGCATATTCAAGTATTTACTGTGCAGTGTCTGAACAGGAACTACAGGTTTATATTGTTAGGCTTTGCTCCAGAGGAGAGCTAGTGAGGTCACTGCTGCTTCAGAGAAATCTCAGAAAAACTTGTATTGTATAAAATATTCCATGTACTAGAACTAAGGGAAACACAGATAGTGAGACAGGCTTTGCTGTTCTTCTTCAAGACTGAAATAGAGAAGCATCCATTGCTCTTCATCACTGCTCTTCATTACTGCTCTTCATCATGTGCAGAGATTGAGACATGTCTCTCCCTGTATGTCATCTGATTTTTCATACCTGCTGACAATGCTGGCCTCTCTCTTGCCTCCCAAGGACCTAGAAAAGAGCTAAAACTTCTTTCATTCCTAAATAGATTTACAGAAAAAATTTTTTAAAACATCATCCAAGAATGATAGATCACTTTATCTCCTTCTCACTGTCTTTCTAATACCTCTTTTGCTCATT